CGTAGTTGTTTAAAAACCATTCACAAAATACAGCCCGTCGCGGAAAATCAACTTCATGAAGTTCTTGCTGACAAGTTAAACGATAGGAGAACAAACGCAAATCTTTTTTTAACACTGTGTGGCAGGTACCGACTGATACTCCCACCATTTGTGATAAAACACGTACAGAAGTTCTTGGCGCATTTTCCATTATTTGTTGGACATTTTCTTTTAATTCTTCAGTCCGCTTTTTAGGTCGGCCGCTTCCTTCTTTTCTTGTTACACTGCCCGTTTCACGAAAAACATTAACACAACGCTGAACTGCACTTTGAAAAATTTTGTACTCAACAACGCCGGGAAATTGATTTTGAAATTCTATGAAACATTCCTCAATAGAATACTTCCATATTCCATCAATCTTGCGTCCATTTCTAAAGTAGGACTCTATGATAAACACTTTTTGTTCTTGAGAAAACACCACTTTAAACGCTTTTTAAAACGAAAATATTCAAATTGATAGCGGCGATATAGCGCTTTGACAGATGACGTTTAAGTTCATTTGCTATACGCTACGCCCTACGTCCAAATTTTCAGAACCAACTTGACCACGTTTTTATTTGAACGCTCGTTATGAAATAAGAGTACTCAGTTTTTTTAAAATCTAAAAAAATTTACCTATTCAGAAGGGTACATAAAAAACTTTTTTTCCATGTAGTCACCTCTCAGGCCTATTGTTTCGCGGCATTTTGGATCTTATCGTCGGTAAAAAAAAACATTTTCCACCCATAAACACCTCCAGAGAAGAGAAAAGATGAAAATCAGAAGATGCCTGGTCAGGGGTGTGAGGGGGTCGCTTAATGCTGACCCAACCGAATGAATTCAAGAGGTGCTTTGTGGCATTGGCTATGTGTGGACGTGCATTGTCATGCAACAAGCACACTCCCTTTGTTAACATTCCCCTTCTTTTGTTCTATATCGTCTTGCGTAGTGTTTTCAGGGTTTCACTGTACTGTGCAGCATTAATTATTTCCCACTTGAGCAAAAAGTCAATGAGGAGAATCGCTTTATGGTCTCAAAACATACTTGCCATAATTTTTCGGGCAACGATTTTGAGTTTTTCGATGATGGTGAAAACAGAAATCTCCACTGCATTGATTGTCTTTTCATCTCGGGTGCAGTGGGTCACCCAAGTCAAGGAATTGTTCACCTTCCAGTTTGAAGTGCTCGAGAAATTCCCATGAAAATGTAATTTTGTAGGATTTGTGTTGATCCGTGAGCTGTTTTTGTACCCACCTCGCGCACAATTTTCGATAACCATGTGTTTCAGTAATGATTTCATCCAGAAGAAATCAGGAATTGTGGGAACACTGTGTTCATCGCGTCCAAAGTCAATCGATGATCACCACGAAATATTTCTTTTGTCTACTTCTTTGTTGACGATGAATATTCATTCTGCCAGCTTTATACTCACTCACGACGCCACTTGCATACATTAGTACGATCCCCATAAACAGTTTTGATTTCATTAAAAATCTGGAACGGCACCTTTCCTCTTGTAAGAAGAATCCGGACTAACATTGCAGCTGACGAGATTCGGAATAGGGGCGCTTATTTCAACACGACACTTCAACAACAGTTCTCAACTGACTGCGACAAATGAGTGCACATTCTGCTCCCAACACCTTGGCCTTGATTGCAGTGTAGTCAGCTTTGTCGAAAACAAAAACTACAGAGTATCAGAGTCTCAGTATTTTTACTTTGTGGATTTGCCTCATACATATAAAAAAATAATGAAAATCGTATGATCTACTTAAATTTGACAGAAGTGTTCCTGGTTAAATTTGAACACTCTGTACATACCTAGTTCTTTATGTACTGAGGCTGAAAAGTTGCATTTTTATAAACGAGCCTGCTTTTGTTCAACATCAAAATGCAGGTTGTGATTAGGGTGCGTATGCATTTTTAATAATTTTAGCTAGGCTGCATTAATCAGTAGGTATCTTCAATATAGTGTCAGTTTTTTAAATAACAAATTATTTTTTGTCTGCAAATACTTCATGGACTCAATTACCTACTTTTCATCACGCACCATGTACCTGGTAGACATGTAATTGAATCCATGAAGTATTTGCAGTCATAAAATGATATGACATCTAAAAATTGATACATTTGTTTATAAAACTGCATTCTATGGTGAGCTTGACAAAAAAATAATTTATATCAGCTGGACTAGTTTCAGCATATCTTCATGAAGCGAATATTACAAAAACTTATCTTAAAAAACTGTTTCTATTACAGACATATCTAGACAGTGGCCTCCCTGTATGAGAGTAATAGTGGAAAGTTCCGACGTCTCCAAAGTAAAAGTGGGTTCGTTGCACATAATAACATGCGATGGAGGTAGTTTGGGTAGAGAAGGCAATCATTCCATAATCATACCCGACATAAACACAAGTAAACATCACCTAAAATTTACTTTCGATAAAGGAAATGGGAACTATTTTGTCACTGATGTAGGATCACGAAATGGTACCCTTTTAAATAACAAACGAATGTCACCATCTAAGCAAGAAAGTGATCCGATACACGTCAAACATGGTAGTAAAATACAGATTGGATCTACCGTATTGCTGTGTCATATCCATGATGGAAATCACACCTGTGGCCATTGTGAGCCAGGACTCGTACAATGCACTAAAGGTTCTCTCTTTTTTTATTTTATTATTATTTTTTGTTCATATTGGTAATAAAATTTGATTTTCAGAATCTACATCATCAAACTTTATTGCAAATTTTCTTAGAAACAATATATCAAAATACACCCCTATTATCACGTAATTTTTTTACTGCTAAGCATTTTTGGACCCACGTTTAAAGGAGGCATTTTACTTAATCCATTAATGCTCAAAATCGGATTTTCAAAGGGGTGTTTTTTAACCATGGGCGATTAAAAATCAAACCTACCAGACTTGTTGGGGATACTCTTTCAAGTGGTGTCCAAAAAATAAAAAAAAAAAATTGGGCAAAAATGGACTTCCAATTTGAAAAACAGCAATTTTTTATTATTTTCAGTCATTTTACGGTGTTAGAAACTTTATCGTTAAGATACGTGCCTAAAACTAATGGGAACGGTTCATCAACACTCCAAAAGGATCCAAGATATACACATCGATTAAGTAAATTGATAAATCAAAATGGGGGCTGAACCGGAGTTTTCTCGGAGAATCTCAAGAGAATTTTTTGGGTCTTTTTTGAAATTTTTGACTTGGCCTATTTTTAAAAAACCGACTGTTTAGTACATTATACTTATCTCCACAGTATTTTTTTATGTATGGGGTGTATTTACATGAATGAACACAGATGGGGTGTATTTACATGAATGAACACAGATGGCACCTTGCGTACGCAACGACTAACATGGGGGTGGAGGTACTGAGCCCCTTCCCAAACATTTCAGGGGGGCAGAGGCCTTCCTTAGTTGATAGATGTGTTTATATTCTGAAAGAAATAATGTGAAACAGAAAAAGTATTTTTTAAAAATAAAATATTCACGAGTCATTAATACTTTATCATTAAGACAAAACTAAAAAATATCCGTAATAAGGAGTATAATTTTGTTATGCAGAATTGTAATATAATCGGTATGCAAAGGTAAGGTCCACGGACCCAGACCCTTTTTTTTCTTTGATTAATAACGAGCTGAATTTTGGAGAACAGCTTCGTTTTGACGAGACGCCCAACTTGTCCCTCTACGGAAATTCTCGAAAACGGTAGCTAATAAAGCGCGAGGGTGTCAAACATGTCGATTTGGTGAATGATCAATATTTATTACTAACAAGTAGTTTTTCACTTAAATCGCATGATAATTGTATGAAAAACTCGAAAAAACTTTTGTCCTACACGTTCGATGGTTTTTCCGTAGCGTCCCCCACTCTTAACATGTCAAAATAATATGATGTTAGAAGTTATTAATAACCACCTAATTTTTTCACAGATGCTTGGTAATTATTATTATAATTCAGTGACATTTTTATCCTACATGTAAAATAGAAGGTTTTCCTAGTCCTACACTGCAAAAATGTCATATTCACGGGTACAATTTTCTCATTAATAACTGTAGGACAAAGAAACCAAACAATATTTTAGGGAATTTTTAATAAAAAAAAACTATGTCCTACAAAAAAATTAGTATGTATTGCTAGTCCTACAAAAATTATTTAAAATTGCGAATTTCGAAATCAGCATTATATCTTCTTGTGATTATCACTCCGAAGTTTGGGGGGGGGAGTGATAAACAAACTTTATCCTTAACAAGCGCGGCCGAACTAAACCAAAGCGATTTTTCTCTATATCGTCGAAAAAAGTGTATATTTAACTTTCTATGCACATGTGATCATATGATGCCACAAAGTAGAAAAATAGTTTAGTAACCCCCCCAGAGAGTTTGGGGGGAGGAGGGGGGATATATTAAGCAAACTACCCTTATCGAGCCAGGTCGAGCCAAACCGATGAATTTTTTATTATATTTTAAAATCATTTGTAAATGTTTTTGTATTATTTTTAATTTTTATTCTAGAAATTATAGAAAAAAATTTTGAAGAAAAGGTATTTTTGAGTATATTAAACAAAGAAATATACATTTTTATCTCAAGTTTAAAGGAGTTACTTACTGAACCCGTTTCAGTAACTGAATACCTTTTAATATAATTAACTTTAAATTAATTATGTAAATTAATTAATTTTATATACTTTAAAAAAAATTAATACACAAAAATAGTTAATAGTTACTAATTTTTAAAATAATTCATTTTGTTATTCTACATTAACTTTTACTACTAAAATTATTCAATAACCACGCTCATGTGTGATTGTTCAGTAAACAGCTCCTTTATCTATTAATAAAATAATCAATATTTGTATGAAAATAAAAAAATGTGAATTTATTACTATAAAATATTATATTGTTTGCAAGCAATCAGAATTACTTTAGAGAATTTTTTTATTTCCTCACTTTTTTCTCGGAAATTCGGATTTTCGCACAATAATTTGCATAAGAACTCCATCGTCAATAAAAAAAGCACAAAAACGTGGACGACTGAAACACACTTGATTCTCTCTAAAATAAAACGTGAGCAAACCGCCAAAATAATCCTGATTGGTGCAGGAATTTTGAAATTTTTTATTTTCACCAATGGTGAAACATTCGATAATTCATAAATTAAAAAAAAACTTATTATTATAAAGATTATTGAATAATTCATTATTATATAGATAAATAAGTTTAAAAAAAAATTATAAACTTCAATAATTTTTTTTATAATTTTTATTGAAAATTAAATTGTATGATTTCCAGTATAATTTTATTTGTTTTCATCACTAGCTTCCACTTTTTTTGTAGGACATTGGTAAAATCTTGATTCAAACATCGTTCTCAAAAGAAAAAATCGAAAATTAGGTTGTTATTAATGAGAAAATTGTACCCGTGGAAATGACACTTTCCCAGTGTAGGACTAGGAAAATCTTCCATTTTACGTGTAGGACAAAAATGTCAATGAATTATAATAATAATTACCAAGCATCTGTGAAAAAATTAGGTGGTTATTAATAACTTCTAAGATCATATTATTTTAACATGTCAAGAGTGGGAGACGCTTCGGAAAAACCATCGAACGTGTAGGACAAAAGTTTTTTAGAGTTTTTCATACAATTATCATGCGATTTAAGTAAAAAACTACTTGTTAGCAATAAATATTGATCATTCACCAAATCGACATGTTTGACACCCCCGTGCTTTATTAGCTACAGTTTTCGAGAATTTTCGTAGAGGGAAAAGTTGGACGTCTCGTCAAAACGAAGCTATTCCCCAAAATTCAGCTTGTTATTAATCAAAGAAAAAAAAAGGGTCTGGGCCCGTGGACTATAAAGCAATTTATTTTAATATTTAACCTGAACTGTAAAATCTTAGCAACTTTACGTAAATTCTGTAAAATATTGAAGACTAAAAGCGAATTTTTCTATTTCTGTTTGCAATAGTCACAACTAAACTATTCACTATAGCGATATGACAAGAAATGACTTCTAAACTGAAAATTAGTTTTTGTAACAATTTAAGTTCAATATGCGATAACAGCAAATAAATTTGCCTTTAAATAGTGCACATGTTATAAGTACAACCAGATATGTTATATTTGTTCTTTGTTGTGTAGTAAAAAATTTTGAGATTTTTCAACGAAACAATAATTATAATGGCATCTCCGAAAAGTAAAATTTGGCAATATTTTTCAAAACAATTAAGAGATTAAACTGTGCATGTTGCAATACATGTTCCACAAGTTTTGAAAAGTTCTGATATTGAGTTATTTTAACAGTAATAGTTGGTATTTTGATAATACAAACATATCGATATATTTATTTCACTATAATAATATCCAACTAATTTATCATTTAAATAACTTTTTTGAAAGTCTCAGTTAAGAAAATATGAAAAAGAGCAGAATTTTAAAAAATAGATGTTAACTTCTATTTTGAAAAATGTTCATATAAAAATTTCTACTTTTAATTCAAAAGAACAGTCACATATTCTCAGGTCCGATGTTAAATCTAACTCACCCTGTATATACAGGCTGTTACAAATTCGCTTCTCACTACGGTTATCTCGGAAGTGGTAAGAGAAATGAAGTAGCATAAATGGGGACAAAGAAGCATAATCAGGGGACCAACATTATGCTTCTAAAAAATCAAGGCTAACATGATTAGTTTTCGAAATATTTGAAAAAAAAAACGAAATTTTGGAAATCCGTTTTTGTTTCATTTCAGCCTTGTTTGAGCTGATATTGTAAAAAGAAGAACACTTTCTCATGGCAACTTTTTGCCCTCTATCGAATGGCATAATCAATCATTTTATATGTAACGTTTCGTCTCTCCTGGACCATCATCAACTTCATTTTTTTAAATACGATCCTGGAAATTTTATTACATTTTTTGCAAGTTTTGATGACCCCCAATACTGTACTGCCTCAGCCTAAACCAGAGTCAGATGTTTTGTCTCGAAAAATTCATCTCCAATGTATTCGTTCCTTTATCTAATTTTTTTATTTAGATTTCTATGTTTATTGAATTATAGTATACGCTAAGTGTCTTTAGACCCTGTAAAATCCACCTAGTTATTTAAACTACATATTACCATCAAAGGTTACAATAAAACATTATTAGAGTTTTAATCTCCATTACCTGGTCATACATAATTCGATAAGTTGTTGCGTCAGAATTATAACATTATTACAATTTTAATTTCATTATGACAAATTAATTCTTAAAAATGCATATGAACAACCAAAACTCCAAATGAACATTATACTTTAAAAATTACAGTAAATGTTCAAAAATGTTTCTGTTTTGGCAAATGTTGAAAATGAATATAAGCATAATATGATCAGAATGTATTATACCTGTAACTGCAACTGTGGAAGAGCATGTCAGATATATTTGTATGTCTTGAAAAAAATTAGGATGGAAATGGAAAGAATGGAAATTTGTTTGAATTTTGAGCACTCGAGAAATCTAGAAATAACTACGAGCACGCGATTAAAACTCTAATAATGTTTTATTGTAACATGTGATAGTAATAATTTAAATAACTAGGTGGATTTTACAGGTCTAACGACACTTATAGTATATGATAATTTAATAAACATAGAAATCTAAAAAAAAAATAGATTTATTTGGAACGAATACATTGAAGATGAATTTTTCGAGACAAAACGTCTGAATCTGGTTCAGGCTGAAGCAGTACAGTATTGGGGGTCGTGAATACTTGCAAAAAATGTAATAAAATTTCCAGGGTTGTATTTAAAAAAATTAAGTTGATGATGGTCTTGGAGAAGAAACGTTACATATAAAAATTGTTTATGCCATTCGATAGAGGGCAAAAAGTTGCCATGAGAAAGTGTTCTTCTTATTTCAATATCAGCTCAAACAAGGCTAAAATGAAACAAAAACGGATTTCCAAAATTTCATTTTTTTTTAAATATATTGGTCTCCTGAATACGTAACTTTGTCCTCATTTAAACTAGTTCATATCTCGTACCGTGTCCGAGATCCCTGTAGTGAGAAGCGAATTTGTAACAGAATGTATACATATATAATAATTTTGGAATATGCAAAAATACCACTGAATTATTTTTACCTGATACTGATTCTTTATGTACTTCATTCTAGTTACTTCAGATAAAAGAATTTATAAAGCAACTAGAGCTGAAAGACATAAAAAGGAGTTGAAATTGTTAAGGAAAAAGTGTGGCATTGTAAGTTATGACGAGGATCCAAAGTTAGCAAGTGGTTATACTGACAGAGCGCAACAGAGAAGAGAAACAGTTGGCAGCCAGAATCCTCATGAAAAAACTCAAGTAGCCTCACTTGACGAGTGAGTTTTAAAATTGCTATAATTGTATCTACATCCATATAGTACGAGATCTGACTGCGAGATTACTACGCTCATTTGTTTTTTTTTTTAATCGAAATACAATTTTTATAGATATAATTATGAACAGACAAATATGTTTCTGCCGGGTTGCCTATCAAAATATTATTAAAATTAAATTAATTAATTTTTTTCCAAACAATTTTGTTCACTTTTATTTAAGATAAATTATACTTCATTTCACATAGAGGTAAAGAACTAAAAAGGGTCGGTAAATGTAACATTTTTCAAAAAAAAAAGTCCGGCCCGCCCATGATTTGAACCAAGGAACTTCAGCTTTGCAGTAGCGAGCTTTCAAATTGAACTACGATGACATACTGGTGTGTGTGGGGCCTTTATGGGCTATTTGAAACTTTGGGTCTCCGCAGATGTAAACAAAAAATTTAAAATGTTCAAATTAAGATTTATTGCTATAATATCGTCTCTATAAGATCACCGGCGTGTAACGCCAAAATATCGTCTCGCCGTGATCTGATCGGTCGGGAAAAAGCATCAAAAGGCTAAATATATTAAACGTGTTCACTGACATTTGGAAAAAATTTATTAATTTAATTTTAATTAAAAATACTTGCGGCCATATATTGATAGGCAACACGGTAGAAACATATTCCTCTATTCATAAATATATATAATATATTATGTAATTATGTATAAAAATTGTATTTTGACTAAAAAACAGATGAATGTAGCAATCTCGCAGTCGGATCTTAGAGTATTATTCTGGGATATGATTAAACTAATATCATTTATTATTTATTTTCTAGATCAATTTCTACTGAGAATAAAGGATTTAAATTGCTATCAAAGATGGGATGGAAAGAGGGTCAATCATTGGGAAAAGATAATAAAGGAATGCTTGAACCCGTAAGTTATATTCATCTAAAATATAATTTATCTACATTATTACAGAATTTGTTAAAAAAGCTGTAATGTTTTAACAAATTAATCGGTAGGTTTTAGAAAAAAATTCGTCAATTATTTTTGTTTAAAAAATTATTTTAAATGGCATACATAAGCAATCATATGATTGTCTATATCAACAATGACTTTAAAAAAAAAAAACATTTTTTTATCAGAAAATTCAGTTTTACAAACAATGGAAAATACCACTTTTTAGATGTTCTGTTGTTTTACATCTGCAAAACTTCACGATCTCATTCACTTCACATCTGCTATCATTGAGCGGAACGAATCTGTGGTTGTGAAGTAAAAATGGATGTGACCAGGGTCTCCATGAAGTTTTCGAAAACGTAATAAAATCAATCTAGTTTTTAAAATATGTTAATTAAGACAATGTTTAACAAAAAATCTTTTTGTTGGTATTTTACAAAACACAAAATGCCAAGCCTTACACATAGCATAAACAAGAAAGTTCTTATCACATATTCAAAGAAGTTAAATATGTCACATAGACACTGCGCTATATAAAAACTGGTATAGTTCTGGTAGAAAATAATTGGTCTATAAAACAATATTTTTGAGTCATAGGCATACATAAAAGAAAGTGGGGAGGATCGGTGTTTTCTGCAACCCCCTTCATGTTCTTAATAAAAATCTTTTTTGTATTTTAACTTTGACACCATGTATCTTGAAAGAAAACTATCTAACTGAAAAATGGCAAATATCCTATTATTTTTGCCGCAATAATCTTGTTATTTTTTGTAACGCCTTGTACAAATACAATGTCGGGTGAGTATATCTTATCTCAATAACTCAATAGTGGAGAAAGATGTACAACAATGTGTTTTGTACAAAATTTGTAGCATGTAATGCTTCAATTTTTATTATATAGGATGGTAAACCAAATCATATGATTTTGCATTTTGCCTCATAAGTGAAAATCAAAATGATGCAAAATTTATAAAGCTACATGCTTCTGTGTGCACTCACAAACTGCAAATCTAGATACTGCACAAATGTCAGATACTTATGAGTATTCAAAGTATATTTTAAACTATTTAGATTTACCACTAAATCCTGTTTGTGATTTTATATTTCAATTTTGTTTGAGTGTTTTATTTGAAATAACATTTTTTTACTATTACTTTACTATTACTTCTGTCTATGTGGTCCATCAGATATTTGCCTGGTTACCTAGCGGCTCAATCCGACATGGTACCAATCCCTACTGCTCTAAGAAAATTTTTATCTTATATTTCTTTTTAACTAATATTTTGGTGACATATAAGTTAACCTCTATAAAATTGTTTATTTTACACTATTGTCACTGCCTCAATGAATATAATGACTATATACAGGGTCGGAAAGTCCCCATGGTTCATTGTCCGTTACGTGAGAGCGATAAAGAAAGTCATAGAAATCTGTGCGATAGAGAAAGATGGCTATAATGAAGGCGTCTAATAGTCACCGCCCATTTCGCCCTTCCACAGGCCCGGTCTGGCTGTTTCAGGGGCCGTCGGGAAAAATCGAAATCAGGGCCTATTTGGTTTTGTCTGTTATTAGGGTGCATATCGACTCTCCCAAGGAAAACTGTCATATATCAAATTTGGTTAGGCTATACTGAGATAATTGCATTTGAATAGTTGAGAAATAATAATCTTCGTTATTTTTTTTTTATTACAAAAGTTAAATCGTTCTTCTTTAATAAAGTAATTATTGTTTAGGTCTTAATTAATTATTGATGATCTAAATAAAATAGTTTAGCATAAGACAAAAATGGATTTTGAATGAGTTACTACAGTTTTCGTCAACAAAATTTTTATTGAGAAACAACTTGCTACACTAATAAGGTACAGAAAAATTATTTATTAATTTCTATTTTTAGATAAAAAAAATAATAATTAATAATCAATAATGACATAAAAGGAAAATTTATTACGATTCAGAGTCAGAGTCATCTTCTTGGTCGATATTACTTTCTTCTTGGTGGTCAGTCTTACTACAGTAGGATCATATTCGATGCAAAGTAATAAATCATTGCCTGTCAAGGGAACCAATGAAGTACGCTTTTAAGGGTTTTACAAATTGAATAATTTCTTTATACATTATGAAGGGACGAAGGGATCAGTTCAGGTCTGGCATCCTTGTTCCTACAAAAATTCCTTTATTCTCATAAACTTTAATTTTAAATGTAATTTATTATAAATTCAATTTGTTTCCTAAATTCCACATATGTACTACATGTTACCTCTGTACGTGCCACTGTTGTTTACTTGTTTTTTAGAAGCGCTCTCTAATTGACGGCAAAGCTCGCCAGGTTAGTATTTGACATATAACCGACCAGTTCGTACACTCGATGCACCTGGGCGACTACAACTACTACCAGAACACAGTGCGTATGCAGCGGTATTTCAGATTTTACATTGAATTTCATTTTAAATTTGAAATGATTTATCTTACGCCTCCTAAAAATGATGACACGATTTTCCTTTGACAACTATTTGCTCTACTTTGCATCGAATATGATCCTACTATAGCAGGCCGAAGGGAATTGTAAAATTTATGATACATCGGTGGTATCAAATTAGCCTTACACATACCCAAAAGACCGCTTAATTTTTTTACCATCAATTGGCAGCAAATCTTGATACAATCTTGGAAATTGATATTCTTCGCGTTTGCGTGTGTTTTTTGTTTGTAAGTCTAGTTCTTTATGGTTTTCTCCAAAATTATACACAAAAAATACTTTATTGGGAGACTTTGGATCGCAGTGGATTTCTCTGATTTTGCTGATTTTTACAGCCTCTCCAGTATCTTTTTCCAGTTTTGTTTCTTTACCATTTAAAAGTTACAAAATCTTCTTGAGACATTTCTTTTACTTTGTACTGTGGGGCAGTAACTTTGGCCATTTTTATTAGACTTATCCACTGATCAGGAGTATCATTTCATTCCGAGTGTGGCCAATTTCAAGAAAACGGTGTGTTATTTCCAAATCCAAAGTCATTGATGCATAAGTAAATATCGCAAAAACAAAACGATTACGGTTTTGGCTACTGCAATTGTCGGAATAAAGAATAACCTTTCGTATGCCATTTTCTATAACACTATTTGAAAAGATCCATAAACAACTTCCAATTTCATCCGGTCCTCGCTTCGATATTGGCTCATGCCATACATAGCAATAGCTTTGATTGCTGCCTAAATCATAAATTGTAAAGTTGTATGTTGCGATTTTACTTTATAGTACAAATCGCTGATTTCTGACTTGGGCGTTACTAACACCTTCTGCAAATCAAAGCATGCTCTGTTATTAGAGATTTATCATTTTTCGACAATTCTTTATCAATGTCTTTCAGATCGAACCACGATTTTGTTTAAATTATGATTAATATATTCATCTTCCCTTTTTTCTGTTCTCTTATCGGGGTCTGTATTCTTATAAGTACTACACACAGAACACTGATTTTTTTTTTTTAGCTTAAAGAAAGCTATATTAAATTTCGAATTAAGAGTATCCCTGTATTGTCTGAGTGTAGCTACTGCATCCCATTTTTGTTGTTTTGCATATTCTAAATATATTCTGTGCATTCGTGAAATACTCAATCCTTCTTCCAAGTACATTCGTTTTGAGTTTTTTCTTGTATAATGAGAAGGCATAAGTGGAAAAAGTTTTATGTGTTCCATAATGTTTTTTATTAGAGCATCTGGATACTTATGCGGTCTAGTGTTGTGTTTTCCTCTTCTGTCTCGTTCTACAGTACCAATTTTTTGCAAAGCGTTGCTTACAATTGTTTCAGAAATTGCAAGCGCATTTATGAACATCGTTTTGCAAATTTGTTTCTCATTATTGTTAATGACAAACTTATAATTGCGAGAGAAATTCCTTTTGGAATATTTATTATGTACAGTAACCTGCTCTTTTTCTCGTTGTGTCACGCACCTTACAAAAAAATCCCACTGCCGAGTATGATCTCCAAGGTTCCAAAATTTGTCAAAAATGACTTTTGTAGCTACTTCATTTAGTTTTTTGTTGCATTTATACCTGCAAATTTCTTTACAAGGTGATTTCATTACTTTTACAAAAATAAGTTTGTCTACGATTTTTATGTAATAAAAATTTCATTCAAATTTAAATTTATAAATTGATTCTGTTTCACTCACGCAGCGTGCAACGCGCAAACGCGGCAGATATGACAGAAGCTATTTACATGCTGCCGTCTGGATCGAGCGTGCAAGGCAAACTCTCCCATTTATTTCAAGCTCAAATTAAAGCTTATTAGTTATTTCAAGCATCATCTTTAAAATATTAAAAATATACTTTTAATATACTTACCCTTACAGTACGTATTCTGTTTTTAAATAATTTTTTTAACATAAAAAAACTCATTGGGATAGGTGACTTTGAATCGGCATTTCTCCGGCTCCAGTACAATCTATGAAATATCTATTTGCAGTTCAAATTAAAGCTCATTTCAAGCGCTGTGCTGCTATTCTGTAGGAATATAAGTATACTTACCACTGCAGTACTCGTGCCGTTTTCACAGATTTTATTTGGCTAAAAATGTTCTTATAGTTTTGACGCCTCGTTAGTCGTTTGGGGGCCTATCTTCCAAAATAAGTCGGGTTTTGCCGACTGCCCGACCTGGCCAGACCGGGCCTGCCCTTCCACAAATAAGATCCACATCTTTCTCTATCGCACGGATTTCTATGACTTACTTTATCGCGCTCACGTAACGGCCGATGAATCATGGGGACTTTCCGACCCTGTATAGTCTGTTTGATTATAAAGGCCATGAGCTATAACTTGGTTACCCATTTTTGGACACCCTGTAAAGTATATATATTTTTAAATGGGATGTTATTTTTATTATACTGGTGCACATTTTTTGCACATTTTGATAATTTTTTTTTTATTCTCTTTCCAACCATATGAAATTTGTGTGCCTTTGCAAAACGAAATTTTTGAGAAAAAATGAACAAACTTTCATCCTTTGACTTTAGTTTAAGGTACTCGCTTTCTAAATCATATCAAATAGAAGGCACTGGAAAAATAATTTAGCAGTATGCAAAATTGTCACATATCAGTTTGTTTGTCACCTTTCAACTTATAACAATATGAATGATTTTAATAAATTAGTTGATATACTGAATATTTATTATGAATGTAGAAAAAACAGTGTAGCTACTTTACATTTATATCGACAACATTATCCTAGAATCCAAGAAAGTTTAGTAAACTTGTAACAAATCTAAGATAGTTAGTTAAAGTATAGGAAAAATATGTATTTAACAATAACTTGGTAATATTAATAAACAAAAAATTGTACAGTGAAATATTAAATGCAAATAAAAAATGTAGAGTGAAATAGTGAAATTTAAAAGTACTGTTCAAACTGTTGTCCATTTCTTTCTATACATAATTCGCATCTTCTAACTGCATTTAATTTAACTTTATGTGGAATATTATTTATCGCAGTACTAATTCTGTCTTTCAACTGATCAATGTTATTTGGTGGTGTTAAATAAACTTCATGTTTTACGAAACCCTAGAAAAAGAAATCCAATGGATTAATATCTGGGGATCGTGACGGGTCCTCTTGTACCAGTCCAGTGGTCTTCACCAGTTAAACAACCATCAAAGTAGTATAGCTCTAATATTTTTGAAACTAGCATACCACACTACACATTAATACGAAATCGATTTTGAAAATTTCTTTCTCTTGTAATTCTAGAATTATCATGGCTCCAATGGTATGATGTATTGCGGTTAAACATGCCGTTGTTAGAAAAATTCCTTTATAATCAAATAGACTGTATATAGTACGCGAAGCATAAAGGCTCCATCTATCGAGCTGACTTCCACTATGCCATTCAAATGGCTACTACGGTGGAAGCGACCTGCTAAAATTTGCCTGGTACTTTATTGCACGAATGTCGCCTATGGAGGGCGAAACACAATGTAAATCGTCAGTGCCGCGAAAAACAACTACTCCGAGGGCTATTTGCCCCTACCGGCATTGAATTACATTCGCGGCACCCAGTACAACAGCTAGGATCGTTCATCAGCTGGTCCCACCAGGCACAGACTGGTTTTGGACTTATTAGTCCTCATCAGTGTGTGGTAGGGGCAAATAGCCCTCGGAGTAGTTGTTTTTCGCGGCACTGACGATTTACATTGTGTTTCGCCCTCTATAGGCGACATTCGTGCAATAAAGTACCTGGCAAATTTTAGCAGGTCGCTTCCACCGTAGTAGCCATTTGAATGGCATAGTGGAAGTCAGCACGATAGATGGAGCCTTTGTGCTTCGCATACTATGTACCTCTTGTCGGGAGTTTACGACTTTTAGCAGCTGAATCGTTCATCGGTTGTCCTACCTATGACACACTGATGAGGACTAATAAGTCCGAAACCGGTCTATGCCTGGTGGGACCAGCTGATGAACGATCCTAGCTGTTGTACTGGGTGTCGCGAATGTAATTCAATGCTGGTAGGGGCAAATAGCCCTCGGAGTAGTTGTTTTTCGCGGCACTGACGATTTAGACTGTATATATTTATTTTATTTAAAAAAATAATAATTTTTACCGACATACATAGAACATTATGTAATTGCACTTATCTGCAATTATTTTTTTTAGCTGACTGAAACAGTAAGATTTTTCAAAAACTCGTTAATAAAAATCATTAGCAACTTTCTATAAATGGCTTTTTTCTTTTTCTTCTAGATTCCACTAGTCTCTAATAAAGGAACTGCAGGCATAGGTTGTACTGAAGATGTTTGTATAGAAGCAATGCCACCAACAGAAAAGCAAAATGTATGGAAGAAGACTCAGGAAAGATTTCAAATGTTACCAGAAACGAATGAAATATTTGAAGGGGATTCTGATGAATAGAGACTAAAATTTGTGGTTATGTTTGTATTTATATATATGTAGGTATTTTTTGAGAAAGAGGCATCAATACTACCAAATATTTTTATAAAATTTCCACAAATTGTGGACATGTTTTACTTTAAACGAAACACTGTATAATTAATATATTGTGAACTTTTAAAGCAATTACTGTAGGATAACACAAACATGTATGTTGAGTCGTTATGTAGATTATGAAATTTTAGTTACAATAGGATCACTCTGCGAAAAAAACCTGTTTTTACATGTTTACCATAAATGTGTGAATATTTTAATAAAAATATAAAGCCACATTTTTGTGAAAGTTAATTTTGTAATTAATTATATTTTATACAAGTGTTAAATAATTTTATAATAAATTTATATGACTTTTTATTGTGTTTATTGAAAACCTGAGTCATAACCCACTAAGCAAAATAAAATTGCTGCAACTATTGCCAACAATTTATAATTACACATTGCACCAGTTTTTTCAAATTCCCCATCTTTTAATTCACCTTATTTAGTGTATTTATAAATAATAAGACATAATAAATTAGTTGAAAATAAAGTTGGTGATGATCAAATATGCCGATATTTTTGAGAATAAACTTTAAAACCTAGCATGGCAGAAGTAATTGTTCAGTTCAAAATTTACCCATGTTTCAAAAAGAATTTGATACATTTTCAAAAAGTTCCATACAACGCGCAGTTCCCGTGATATCTACTAGAATTACAGATGAACATACGCAAATGACCTATTACGCAGATTGGAAGGCGCTGGACGAGAAAACACATTTTCACCACAGTTTTGAAAGAAAGAATAATTAGTTGAAAATGAAGTTGGTGATGTTCAAATATACCGATATCTTTAAGAATAAACTTTAAAACCTAGCATGGCAGAATGAAGTAATTGTCACAGTTCAAAATTTACCCGTTTCAAAAAGAATTCGATAATCTAAAAACTTCCATACAACGCGCAGTACCCGTGATATTCACTGGAATTATAGATGAACATTCATAAATGACCTATTACTCGCATGGGAAGACGCTGGGTGGGAAAACACATTTTCACCACAGTTTCGAAAATTTGTGGAGTTTTCTCCCGCAAAGCTACTGTTGAAAGATACTCAAGTTACGTATACAAAAACATTCCCATCCCTAGATATTGCCTACTTTGAATGTGTTTATATTTCTCAAGCCCAAGGGCTCTTGCCCATAAATTAAAATGCTTATAAACATACAGAGGTACATTGTAGCACTAAACTTAAGAGTTTTTTAGTTCTCAATCTGAATTGACACAGAATAGATGTGATACATGATACAATAAACTTATATGTGATATCTGAATAAGTGAATAAACAATATCTTTTAATTATTAAAGTGTTTTAGTTCAACCCATAATCCCATCAACATTCCCAACAGCCATCTGCCGTATCAAACAATGCTGACAGCGGAGGCGACGAAACGCGAAACAGTCACCAACTGCGCAGGAGAGCGTGATTTTCCACCATTCCACTACGGAACAATTATTGCCACCAAAAGTCATCAGCCAGATGAGACAACGCTGACCATGCATCGCCTAGAAGCCGCCAACAGAGCAAGAATAGTCATATTTTTACAATGCAACATGTGTATATAAGTCTTTCCAAAGTCAGTTGAACATGTATGAACGCCTAGCAATAAAATTTAATGAGTTTCATGGACATCCCTAAACAAGTTTTTTGCTAAGGTAAAAAATAATAAAAATTTGTATATAATGTGTAGAAAATTTCTATTATATGTTCATTTGGCCAACAACATATTTTAATTATTTATTTCTTTATACAAATTATAAATTGTCCACCGAAGTACGTGCCTCATCATGCTATCGAAATTTTTTAATTTTTATTTTCGCTTTCTCTACGCAATGATCTACTTGTATAACACTTTGTTTAATAACATGAAAAATTGTGGACACTGAAACTTTAGTTAATATGTAAATTCTATTCATAATTTCATTATCTGGTTTTTCATTTTCTTCCGTTTTTAAACAATCGTAAATATTTAAAATGAGACGCTGACATTGAACATGTAAATCTTTATTTTTAAGTTCTAAATCTGTTGCATCAACAACTGGTTCTACTAATTCAACATTGTCTGGCGGTATTTAGTTTTGTTCCGTTTCAAAAGGTCTCCAAAATGCCATGTAATAATATTANCTGTTGCATCAACAACTGGTTCTACTAATTCAACATTGTCTGGCGGTATTTAGTTTTGTTCCGTTTCAAAAGGTCTCCAAAATGCCATGTAATAATATTAGTAAACAAAATATCCCTCTTATTTCTCCCTTTCGCAATTGTAATATGAATGACTAATAAAAGGTGCCTATAATAAATTAAAATTACCTGAATCATACCGAATTCCCCATTGCTACACTGCATCGCTATGCAATTTGTCGACAACTGAAATTTATGGCTGATCGCCCAGTCCGGCTCTGTTTGTTCGCTGTTTGCCCGAGCTCATTCTTCAACTAGGCGACCAGACCTGCATACGAGTATGATTAAATAAAGTTTTTCAAATATTTCAATGCCGAGTTATTGCGTAGCGACCGAACCTAGTACATACCGCCTAGCTCTTTGGTCTTCAATTGAGATCGGAAAGACTATACTGTAGTATATAACAACCACGGGTTCGATCGAAAAAATACAAATAAACGTAGTTGTGGGCAGAAATATGTGATCGTCATAAGGAATACCTACGTTGTATACATCTATTTTTAATTGACGGAAAGGCGCTGGCTACTAACTTTAAAGTTAGTTTAATTTTATAAACACAAAAGCAGAGTAAATACACCTAACTTTATTATTTACGTACATCAGTCTTCAAATTAAACATGTGACAAATAGAAAGAACAACAAAAACATTAACAACCATTTAACATAAAATGAGAGTGCCAGGCTCACCTAGAGCTCCTGTGGGGAAAGAGCATGGCAGAGAAACCCACGATCGTTGCTCTAACTATTCAAATATAAATACAAAACAACCGCTAACAAAAGGCATAACTTAAGATCATTTGCTAATGATAATTAACGCCCGACTTATTTAATTTCTCACTAAATGTCACCTCACTCGGATTAGACATACACACTTCCAAGTAAAACTGAAGAGGTTTGGTGTTAGTTAGCCGGCAGGGCCGGAAGGTAGTGAAGTCCAATACGGGACGCAATCCAGCTATGAGTTCTTCTTCTTTCTTTGTATTTAATTATTCTTTTTTTTTCAGATTCACATTCAGAATATCACATCACGCTGTTGTACTATCTAGCACTTTCCGTGCATCTAACCCCCTATGCTATAGGTCCCATAACAACTCGCACTTGTGATAGAAAATAGTATGTGCAACCTCTGTAATCTATGGCATGTGCAACTCGTTCAGAAAAGTTGCCATAGCGCCATGCCACTTGGGCGCTTTCCGCACTCGCTTCGCTCGTGCGTCAACTGCGTCCGCGTGGCGCTATTGGCAACTTTTCCCCACTCGTTACACAATGTACTATTTAAATTGGTCTCCCTATTAATAAAAATTACTTATACCTAAATTCTAAGAAAATATCTACAAATAAAAAATGTTAAATTTCTTTTTAATCAATTAGTTAGTTATTTTAATTAATTTTATGAAAAAAGGTATACCTAATTCCATTATACCTTTTTTTAATTCTTAGTTGAATATCAGGTAATGCTTAGTAATGAAAATTATTAATTTTTAAATATTAGGTACAGACTGTTTCTTTAAATTTTACCCCACCTGCAGTTATTATTTTAAAAGACAAAACAAAATGTGAAATATAAAATTGAATTACGATAAGGGGAGGTCAATGACCTCCAAACAGTAACCTGATATATTATTTCATTTATAATTGCAAAAAGTTAGCAAAATTGCTAACTTGGTTTTCTTATCACACCTAAGCGGAATAATTTCTATTTCAATACAATTTACTATTTAAAAATAGAATACCCTACAGTATTGTTACGCGGGTTTTACCAGGAACATGGCACGGCATTATTATTATTATTAAGATATACAGATCCGCGACAGTCCGGCTCTGATGAACTCAAAACCAAACATATTTCTGCCACCAGGGTTTCTTTGGCGCTAGTATCACTTACAATTATTAAATTGCAATATATAGCTAGGATAAGAACCTCGCTATACAGCGGTAGTATAATATAAGGTCAATATAAGTATGACTTTTGAACAGAAGGTGTCACAGGCATACCATGGAATTAATGCCAACTCCAAATACATTTAAGGGGGGCGTTTTTATGCGCAATTTTCAATGAATTTTTTGTCCAATTGTTTAAAAAATCTAAGCAAGTTAGAAACGATATCTCTTCACTGTAGTACTCATACAAGTGTTCTTCAGGGTGTGAGATAACTGACAACACATTTTAAATAAGAAAAAAAAAACATATTTTTTTATCTTACGTTTCCTGAACTTTCCACGACTGTTGAACATACAGATAAAAGCGTACGGTATTATAAACATACCCACACCCAGCAGAATGCTTTTAGGATACTATTTATACATGAATTAATAAGAATTATTGAGTAGTTTTATAAATCAATTGGACAAAACAGGAAAGGTACGTGTTCTGATATTTTATATTATCCGTCATCTTTTCATGCCGAGNGACTTTTAGTTTTTATACGGTTTCAACTATCTTCGTAAACACTATAATAAATGTTTAAATTTTTGATAGTATCAAGTATAGTATTCCTCTGTTTCCACATCCAATATTTTATTAAAACACTGTAGGTCATTATATTATTTTTCTGTGCAAATATTAAAATTATCTGACAATTCTTGTTCATTGCACATATTTTCCCTAATGCGGCTCTGGACGATAATAGGCTTACCAATGTCCTGAGAATATATAGTTACCGATTAAAGAAATCTTTACGTCGATTGCTATGTGGTATTATGAAGTTGTTCTAGTTTGGCATTACGCTAGTAGAGACCGCCACTTCCTGGATGGATTTTCTACTATCTATCAGGTGCTATCGCTGTCTTACCAAAAGTGCGATTTCTTGTCTATAAAACGGCGCCCTTAAAGAATATTCAAAATTCAGACATAAAAGAACAACAAAATACAAATTGGACTGCAAGGAAAATATTTCAACGCAAATTCGAATCAGAAATTTTATATTTTAGCGTTAAACAAGTGACACTAATTACTACTGTCTATAAAAGTGTAAAAATCGCTAGTCGCATTGTGAAATTTTGGCAGCCATTGGAGTACGTTGTGTCGCCACATCTGGGAACTCTGTCTATGGGGCGGGTGAATAACAATCTAGATGAAGCGAGGCGACCGCCATCT